GAAGTAAATAATTGAATTTATTTGCACAGGTAGAACCTGAAATCAGCAAGTTCACTCGGTAGCAGGTAAGCATACTCCATTTTTACTACATTATATCCTTATCTCTACTTCCACTTGTGGATTTGCTGGGGCTACTGCCGGTTACAAGCCGAAGTAAAGGAGGAGGGCTGGCTTATGGTTAGCATCCCCAAACAGTGGAACAAAACTTTGCTAAAAGCACCAATCAGACTAAACAATGTGAACCATTTAAAGCCTGTCCTGTGAGTTGAAGGATTTTCATTCAAAAGAGTTATAACGCCTCATGTTGAAGGCCGATGATCTTCCTCCTAACAATCAGAGCAACAAATAATATTAGGTACATCAAGTGTCTGGGCAATGCGAGAGATCGGGATTCCCAATTACACGGCTGTGGAAATGGAGATATACAACTTGTCGGTGCTCGGAATTCAATGAAATTCATCGGACCAAAGTTGGACAAAAGAGGTCAGATTCGGAAGAGATGCTATTGTGCTCTGTTCTCAAGAACAAAAATGCTCCACAAATTCAGGGAGTTGCTAGATGCTATCTAAAGAAGCACGAAATGTACTTATAGGATGGGAATCTTGTGGACCCAGAATCATCAAAGCATCGTTCAAAACAAATAAGGAGGGAATGACAGTGAATGATATCCAATATTACGCACTAACCACTGACAACGACGAAGATAAAGATAATTTCTACGAGAGTCTGCAGTCGAAAGTAGTCAGGAAATGAATAAACGGTCCTGATGGGAGACCTAAACACCGAAGTCCCAGAGGACAACACCGACTATGAATATACCTTGGGACAACGTGAACTAGGAGAGAAAAACGAAAATGGGGAGAAATTTGCAAACTTATGTGCATTCAGTAAACTGGCTATAGGCTGCACAATATTCCCACATAACCACATAAGCAAAGCTTTATGGGTCTCACTCGATCACACTACGGAGAATCAGATAGATTATATTTGCATCAATAAGAAATTCACAAGGTCAGTGGAAGACGTGAGAACCAGGGGAGATGACAGCTTCAGATCACCACCTGCAGCTAAAGAAACACTGGGTAATTGGGGAAACAGCATTAGGTAGGTTCAATACTAACGAACTCAACGTATTAAAGATACCTCTCAACAACAGCTTCCAAGCCTTATAGGATCTACCCGGAGAAGAAGAAACTACTATGGAGGACAACCGGAAAGGCATCAAAGGAGAGTTAACCCCAACGTGTCAGGAGGTTCTGGGTCGCGAGAAGCATCACTATTGGGAACGGATCTCTAGGAAAATCCTGGACAAGATTCATTAAAGGAAGAACAGGGAAACATCGATTAGAAACAGTCGGACAAGGGCAGAGAAAGTCAAGGTACAGGCCGAATACACGGAAGCAAACAAGCAAGTGACGAGAAGCATTAGAGAAGACAATTAGAAATACGTGGAAGAGCTAACAACGACAGCGGGAAAAGTTGCAGGTGAAGGAAATATGAAACAACCACATGACACAGCAAAGAAGCGGGTAGGGAAGAGTAGTAAGACAGACAAAACGGTCAAGTATAAAGAAGGCAAGTCAGTTACTTAGATTTAGGAACAACGAAACAGGTGGGCAGAACACTTTAAAGAACTCTTAAACAAACATTCCCCACTGAACCCAGCTCCATTGAGTCCACTGGACATCGAAGTAGCGCAAACAGACCTTCCTATGGATGTCACACCACCAACGACGGAAGGAATGAGGATGGCCAACATCTCACGATATACCAGCTGCAGCAATGAAGTCAGACCTAGAAGTGATTGCAAGTATGCTCCACGTTCTATTCATGAAGATTTGCGAGGAAGAACAAGTGCTGACGGACTGGAAAGAAGGACATCTCATCAAAACACCAAAGAAAAGAAATCTGAAGAGGTGTGAGAACTATAGAGGCATCACACGACTGTCAGTGCGAGGAAACGTTTCCAACAGAGTGTTGCTGAACCGGATGAAAGATTCAGTAAACATCCAGCCTTGAGATCAGCAGTCTGGATTCCGTAAGCATCAGTCGTGGACAGACAAATCGCGACACTAAGGATTACTTTTGAATTCGTCACTACACATCGAGACTGTAATCCCATGTACACGGAACAGCTCGATTGTAAGTTATCACAGGTTGCTAAACTTATCGTCTTGTTTGATTACTCGAAATTATAAATTCACTTACAGAGAAAAATCTGAACCTCCTGGGTTAAATTCATCAGAAATTTACTCTACAAATTACCTCTCAAAACCACGTTATCACAATTAATTGACGGTGAAAACATTTGCTCAAATATGACGTGTATCTGACCCTAAATGACAATAGGATCGACTAGGAAAAAACTAAACCGATAGGATTTCGTAGTACGCAGTTTTGCGTTAGAAAACTTATAATTGAACTAACAATACTATTCAGATTAGTGGAGAATAACTACAGAGAATCGCAAACACATTCGGCTCACTATGACAGTATATGTTTTCATATCTTCATTAAGTCTCATACAGCTATGCATAAAAAACATTTTACTTACACTGTAGATAATCATATAACATCATGTTCAAATTATTTTTCCCATTAGCTTTACACATTCAAATACTAAAACCATCAAAGTTCTCTACAAAAGTATTCTCACTAACTAGATCAAACATGTCGATCGAAGTACTTTATCCAATTCAGTTAAAAAAATACACCACATTATTACAACAAATGGATTATGGAAAATGAAGTTATTTTAATTCTCATTTATTTATATGGAATCACAGAAATTCCGTAGTCTTCCTGAAGGAAAAGACTACCACCTTTCGAAAATCTGGATGAATACAAAGACTTCTATAAAAATAATAGTATTGAGTGTCGTCTATGCAACATAAATTACCAAATCTTTTTAAAACGTACTCTAGTAGACATAACTGAACCAACGGAGGAAAATGTAAGACACTGTGAATGCAAGTAGAGGTAATGTGCCGTAATGTTCTTCAAGCAATTACCACTTACTGAAGAGCAGTAAAATTGTACAAACTCGTTAGACATAATCTACATTATGAGCCACATAATCTGTGGTTGAGATTGAGAGTGACAATCATTTAAAACACCACACCACTATTCTTGAGCTTTTATTGTTTTATACGTATGGAAACCTGAACTCCCACGTCGATAAATCAGAATGATCTGATCCACATGTAAAGGCAAGGATTGGCAAATCAAGGGCAACATTCCTACAACTGAAGAACATATAGAATTCGAAGCAAACTCAAGCAACAAATAAATATATGGATTAGTGTTCAACGTTCGGTTTATCGAAAAAGCACTTGCAATCGTCTTTACTTGAATTTCAATAGATTCTGTCCAATCAGTTGTAAGGAAGCGTTAGTCAAAGCACTATTTTATAGAGTAGAAAAGATACGTACCACCAAGAAACTGGAGGAAGAATTGAGGAACGTTGAGAAATACCTGAGACAACTGCTGCTCACGGAAATTCATCAAAAAGTATAAAAGAAAACCCGAAAACAACAAGACAGATGTGACCACTGTCAATAAAAAAAACCAATATTTATGAATCCGAGCTTCAAAGATGAAACGTCGCAAGCACATTCAACACGAAGCTTATCACTGAGTTAGCAAGCACCTACCCTGAAACCAAACTAGTAATCCTGTATAAACCATGCTTAATAACCCGATCTAAGGTCGACAAGTAACCCTTCGATTATACCATCAATTGTGTCTATAAATTTAAAAGAACTTGTCGAAGCAGCTACATTGGGCGAAAACAGAAGGTATACATTAGATTTTATGAACACGTCACGAAAAGCCTTCAAACAACAGAAAGAACCACAATCACTAAACATCTATTGAACATAGGAACAATCAGTGTGTTTTATTCTTTGTGGAGATTCGAATTTATTTAGGTCATCAAAATTTGCAATCACTAGACGGCATTTTGGCTCGTATCAGTGAAACATAGTACTATAAGCAGGTAGGAAATAGCAATAAATGTGAGTTCTGTTTACCCCAAACACTTGCATGTATAAAGCAAATGTGTAAGTTAAAACACATTGCATTACACTCTTATCATCACTTTAAATTCTGATGTTAGTCAAGAATTCAATGCGCCCTATGATTGAAATTGTCCAGATAAGCAGGTGGGATTCGAAATGAAAAGTTAATTCCTATCTCACATCTACACTAAGGTTCACACAGGATTCAGAAGGGCTACACTGAACTGATTAGGCGCGGATCAAGCATTACCACAGCCTTCGAATAGCATTTCCCATTCAAGTAAAACTGATCTCAAGAGTGACAGACCGATTTCATATCGAAAATTGTTTCGTATCCACTGATTGGAAAATACAACCTTCAACATGATGAATATTTCGATTCTTTCTTTCTTTCGTTCCATAAAACCTGTAACAAAATATTTCATTGACGTTGTAGTGAGGAGCGGAAAATGAGAAAACCACTTTCCTCAATAGTATCGTCTAAGCATTTGAAGAAGACTAACAATTAAGTCGAGTGCGACCATGGTATTTATGAATAATCTAAAATGTACATCTAATATATAATTCCTGCTCGATCTTTGATAAATAATACCATTTGCCGTTAAATGATAGAGATCCTCACATTTATTTACAAATGTAAACCGTGCACTAGTAGATGTCTTCGCAAAAACTAGAGAAGAACTATTTTCACAGTCGTTCCCTGCTGTTGTTTAGGTCTATCTATCAAAACAGCTTTCCACCCCAACGGAAGAGACTTCATCGACAGTAGTTCATAGCTTATGAGAAGAAAACAGTGTACAATAAAAAGTGACTTATATAAATTACTGTGAAATATTAATCATTTAAGCAAAATGAATAAAAGGACTCCAGAAAATGTTTTACTGTTTCGCATAAGTAAGACTATGACAGTTTATGAGCTCAGTGGTATTTACATGTCATTAATTTAACACAGCATTTAGTAATAAAGAATATTTTCAAATTCTACTTCTGACTAAACGATACCCATTCGTCGATAAGTGCTTCCGAAGTTTTCCACACATGATCGCAAATTTCATCATTTAATGCTTGGGAGTTACATCTGCGTGGCCGACACTCAGAATAAAATGCACCAGGAATGAGATTGTTATCAAGAGCACAAAATACTGTTGCCTGAGCACCTTCACGGGATGTTTTTGTCAACCATCGAAATAAATAGTAGACTAGAAACTAAAATTAAAACAAATCTTAGTCGAACAGTAAAAGCTAATTAGTTTACAAATGCGCATCAATACATTATAAATTCTCTCAAACACATGCATTTCATCACATATTAATCAGTAAAATCGGCGTAAACAGCTTCACTGTAACAGTTCCGAAATACTGTCTTACATTCTACGATAAACAGGTAGATGCATGCACACGAGTACGCAGAAACAAATTGACCACTTATTTACCTTTCAACAACTCCATTTATATTACTATTTATTCAAACACATAAATATTGTTACAAATGGCGACCAAAGTAGATGTGCGTTACACAGATAAGACAATAAGATTGTGAAGTAAAAGAAGGAGAGGAAGTATGACCAATTAAGTAAATGGCAGTAGAGGAGAATAAATTATGATGGGAGAGACGGATCAATTTAACAGATCACAATTAGAACGAATTCTTTTAGGTGACGAAGTTCCTCTCACATTTTGAAGTATAAAAGGAAATTACAGCAAGATCACCGCTGATTCCTGTTATGGCTCATATATGATAACGTATTAACACAAAGACGGCCCAGATTGACATAAACCACTTTGAGTTCTAATATTTGTAGATTTATCTCATCAGCCACACTACCACCAACGCCCAAACACACCTAAAGGTTCACTACAAACAGTGAGTGTGGGAACAGGTTTTTGCTAGTCTTCCAAAAGCACTTTGTATCTTAAAGGCCCACACACATTCCATACCTAAGAACATTGATCGTCAACTGATTAAGTGCGATTCGAATAGTTGGGATATCATCGTACAACCACGACATTTATTTTAGGAGTTGTGATGCACGATAGTCGATAATGTTGATGAGACCTGGAAGGTTCTGTCTCAAACATAAGAAATAACAGTGTTCAGATGAAATTATACGGTTTTCTGTATCATTTAGGAATATTACTGTTGTCTAGCATTACATAAAAGAAACGGGGAATTCGGTGGAACTGGTTACTTAGGTTGTAGTTGCGCGAGCATTTTGGATTTACAAAGAGACCAGTAGGTTGAACTCAATCAAGTGTCTATTCCACAAATTTTGAGCATTCCTGAAAACACTCAAAACTATGAGGAAGTAGGAATTCCCTTTCTATTCAACGTTGTTTGTAAAACATTCGTCGAAAGAATTCCGATTCAAGTCTTCAATTTGTATAAATTTCACTAACAAACTCATTACTTAATCCTTGTCTAGTGGTGATCACTTCGTCATCTTTCATTCTTGGTAACCACATTCATTTACTATTGCTGTGCTAACTGTACGGACAGAGTTGATGCCAACGTCATCATCAGCTGTTTGGTAGTAATCTTCGTCAGGTTTCGCAACATCACAGTTTAGTTCACAGTGGAGATCAGTTAACTAAACCTCAAAAGAGAGTTTGTTTGAGATTTTGCCGTAAATATGGAATACTTATGTAATAAACATTCGGGTCAACATAAACAGGCACCACTTAAACACACACGGTATGCATAAATAAGGAGTTCGCTTTATAATCAAAGGAAAAACACTGGATATAACACATAATACAAACATCAACTCACATATTCCCTTTGCATGAACGAAAAATGGATGTTCTCACCAAGCCTGGATGAACGCTGACTGAAATAATTCCATCTCCAGACCAACGTTACAAATTCACGTGCATGAATCACATTTAACAGCTTACTAATAGCATAACCAGAGCCTACACCTGACAAGAATCCGCTATTCGGGTGTAATTTAGCAAGCCAATGTAACAAAGATGACAGAATGATTACACGACAAGGTTTCCCATCAGATGCATGCAAACACGGCTTTAATAATTTAGTGAGCAGAAAATGACCCAAATGATTCACTTTCAAGTGTTTCTCAATTCCAAGCTCATCGTAAATCTTCTCTGGAAAATCTGCCCAGCATTATTGATTAAGATGGAAATTGATTTTTCTCTACCAATGATACGATTCGCAAACTCTCGAATAGATTTTGGCGACTCCAGATCCAACTCTTCACAAATAAGCTATTGAAAACGAGATAATAATTACAAGGTTTACTCATGTCTCAATAACAATCTTTCAACAAACAACTTTAAACAACAAATAACATCGACTAAATAAAACCTAGGGAGTCACTGAAGATGGTAGTGGAGCGGTGAAATAGTGGTTTAAGCACTCGAATTACAGACAATACATAACAGGTTTGGATCCTGCTCCATCTAATTCATCTGGCATGATAACCATGAGTAAAAAACATCACGTTAGTAAAACAATCACAATTAACATACTTGATCTGGTTCCACATGAACACTCAATACTGATGGCTTCTCATTACAGTTCTAGTCAGAAGCTCCTGTCGAGCCAATTCGCACTTCCTTAGATCTCTGCATGCCATTATAACGCGGGCCCCACGGCGAGCCAACTCATCCACCCTTTCTAATCCAATACCAGTATTGCATCCCGTAACAATAACTGTTTTACCATCCAAACGATCTTCAAGAGTACACTCACAATGACCGAAGTATTTTCTCTTAATGATATACAATGTACTAACAGCAACAACAATCCACATGTACGGACAAAGAAACATACAGAAACATAGGAGAACAACTGATCCATCCTCAAATTTGTTCTTAAAACTGAAACAGAAATTCAATTATCTATATTCACTTTCAAACATGTAACGTAAACATAGTTTATACAACAAACAGACAGGTTTCGAGAATATTGGACTGATTGCTCGATTGTCGTGTCTATGTTAAATGATTCAAACTCCTAGATTGGTCGCCGTCAATTCAAGCCCCGTGTCACCTAGACGAGATATTTGTCTACCAGCTAAAGAACCAGCTTAACCCATAGCACTTCTTTGTGCTGCTTAATTGGTGTGAGACGTGGTCACCAAGAACAGAGGATATTTCTAGGTTACTAGTAATTGACCACAGATGTCTTCGAAGCACCTATGATGTATTTTGGGATAACTGACTGAGAAATCGTGGGGTTATGTGTAGGCTACCAGGGAAGATGGTAAACCCATCGATGATGTAGTGAAATTCCACAGATTGAGGTGATTGCAACACACTTTACGTATACCTAACTACCACCTACCACGGTGAGTGATTTTATCTGACGCAAGAGTAGACTGAGAGAAAGCTAAGGCCCACTACAAGACGTAGCACACTTCTATGAAGTCATTGACAACGCGGACTGAGTTATGTTGAAGGGTTTAGGATACTTGGTTGGGATCTATGCGATCACTATGTTAATGTAGTATGGCGACTCGAACCGATGCACTGACGCACCAGGTTTTGCGTCTCATAATACCGACTAACTGATAGCCCTATTTAAAGGAGGCAAAACTGTAGATGAACATTTATATATCCACCAACAATCGATCCACTAGACCTTAAACACATGATTCGAAAAGTAATCCAAACTCATACTCAAAAATATGCGATTTTCTTATCACATTGATGGGTTGGTTCGAATATGTTGAACTAGGCAGTAGTTGATATAAGTTAATAAATAACTAAATGGACATATATAATCTGAAACATCAGATCAATCAACTCGACTAACGAACAACATAAATTACTGAGTTGTATATCTGCCTGTTTCTGACAGTCTTCATATTATGTGCATTACGTTGGAGCCTCTGAAAATTCCTAGCTGATTTTTAGGCCTGATAAACAACAGGAATCCATGTTGTCGAGTGTCTAGAAACTGCTATTGAAACCTACTGATAGGCCTCGATCACCTTTTGAAAGGTTAAGAATGAAAAATACTTGGTTCAACTAAACATCAGGAATCAAGCAAACAATGGAAATTTGACATGTGCTTCTAATAAAGTGATGGAAGTGCATATTACAGACAAATGAGCCTCGATAGGCCAATCAATGCAGAGCTCAGTACAAATATGCATGTATATGCTCAAAATAAAAAAGTCTTCATATGATTTTAGTGTTGCAATGTTTCGTGCGTTTCATCAATCTCCAAATCAATAGCAGACAACCTACGCTCCTAAACATCAAAAAATAAAATCGAATTTTCCGAGTTTGCAAACTACTTCAATGTTTCCCGACAGATAATGTAGATCTGAGGCAAGGCTGCGACCGTGTTGTGTGTGCGTTGTGTACTAGGTGAGCAGGTAGAGTAGTGTGAGTGGAGTCGTCTGCAAAGTAGAGAAACAGGAACGAAATGTGACTTGACGACCCAGCAAGCACACACAATGCACTTACTTTCAATAAGAACTCTAACGAACAATAATCAGTAAGAACACAAGCCTCAGATTAATACAATCTGGGAGTCGAAACTAGTAGCCGATAGTTTAAACTGCTACAATGCACTTTACTTGATTCGGTTGGGCAGCGAGGTTGAATTACTGGTTCATATAAAAAACAGCGTAGCTCAAAGCCTACTACACAAACTTGTCAGTAACCTACATAGTTATCGAAAATATTAAATCCTACTAATCAATGCAACTCTAAAGAATTCCCGAACGGTTGGTTTCACATAGTTCTCTTGGTAGTTGGTGATATACACTGAAAAAAATTATTAACATGAAGTGATACATTACAAATAATTCTCGTTCACCTTATGACCATGTTTATACATAGCGACAATCACTAGTCAGACAAATGCAAAAGTATTTAACAACTCTTTGAGACAATATAGGAAACCTCACTCAGTAGGTGCTAGTCACCATTGCTTGTCGGAATCACTTCCAATTATATGCCTAGAGGCCGTCTAAAAGGAAACAAAATAGCACACCAAGGCGGTATATATGCACAGTTTATCCAAGAGAATAGGAAATATCAGAAGGCTCTTCAATGTTTCCCGACAGATAATGTAGATCTGAGGCAAGGCTGCGACCGTGTTGTGTGTGCGTTGTGTACTAGGTGAGCAGGTAGAGTAGTGTGAGTGGAGTCGTCTGCAAAGTAGAGAAACAGGAACGAAATGTGACTTGACGACCCAGCAAGCACACACAATGCACTTACTTTCAATAAGAACTCTAACGAACAATAATCAGTAAGAACACAAGCCTCAGATTAATACAATCTGGGAGTCGAAACTAGTAGCCGATAGTTTAAACTGCTACAATGCACTTTACTTGATTCGGTTGGGCAGCGAGGTTGAATTACTGGTTCATATAAAAAACAGCGTAGCTCAAAGCCTACTACACAAACTTGTCAGTAACCTACATAGTTATCGAAAATATTAAATCCTACTAATCAATGCAACTCTAAAGAATTCCCGAACGGTTGGTTTCACATAGTTCTCTTGGTAGTTGGTGATATACACTGAAAAAAATTATTAACATGAAGTGATACATTACAAATGATTCTCGTTCACCTTATGACCATGTTTATACATAGCGACAATCACTAGTCAGACAAATGCAAAAGTATTTAACAACTCTTTGAGACAATATAGGAAACCTCACTCAGTAGGTGCTAGTCACCATTGCTTGTCGGAATCACTTCCAATTATATGCCTAGAGGCCGTCTAAAAGGAAACAAAATAGCACACCAAGGCGGTATATATGCACAGTTTATCCAAGAGAATAGGAAATATCAGAAGGCTCTTCAATGTTTCCCGACAGATAATGTAGATCTGAGGCAAGGCTGCGACCGTGTTGTGTGTGCGTTGTGTACTAGGTGAGCAGGTAGAGTAGTGTGAGTGGAGTCGTCTGCAAAGTAGAGAAACAGGAACGAAATGTGACTTGACGACCCAGCAAGCACACACAATGCACTTACTTTCAATAAGAACTCTAACGAACAATAATCAGTAAGAACACAAGCCTCAGATTAATACAATCTGGGAGTCGAAACTAGTAGCCGATAGTTTAAACTGCTACAATGCACTTTACTTGATTCGGTTGGGCAGCGAGGTTGAATTACTGGTTCATATAAAAAACAGCGTAGCTCAAAGCCTACTACACAAACTTGTCAGTAACCTACATAGTTATCGAAAATATTAAATCCTACTAATCAATGCAACTCTAAAGAATTCCCGAACGGTTGGTTTCACATAGTTCTCTTGGTAGTTGGTGATATACACTGAAAAAAATTATTAACATGAAGTGATACATTACAAATGATTCTCGTTCACCTTATGACCATGTTTATACATAGCGACAATCACTAGTCAGACAAATGCAAAAGTATTTAACAACTCTTTGAGACAATATAGGAAACCTCACTCAGTAGGTGCTAGTCACCATTGCTTGTCGGAATCACTTCCAATTATATGCCTAGAGGCCGTCTAAAAGGAAACAAAATAGCACACCAAGGCGGTATATATGCACAGTTTATCCAAGAGAATAGGAAATATCAGAAGGCTCTTCAATGTTTCCCGACAGATAATGTAGATCTGAGGCAAGGCTGCGACCGTGTTGTGTGTGCGTTGTGTACTAGGTGAGCAGGTAGAGTAGTGTGAGTGGAGTCGTCTGCAAAGTAGAGAAACAGGAACGAAATGTGACTTGACGACCCAGCAAGCACACACAATGCACTTACTTTCAATAAGAACTCTAACGAACAATAATCAGTAAGAACACAAGCCTCAGATTAATACAATCTGGGAGTCGAAACTAGTAGCCGATAGTTTAAACTGCTACAATGCACTTTACTTGATTCGGTTGGGCAGCGAGGTTGAATTACTGGTTCATATAAAAAACAGCGTAGCTCAAAGCCTACTACACAAACTTGTCAGTAACCTACATAGTTATCGAAAATATTAAATCCTACTAATCAATGCAACTCTAAAGAATTCCCGAACGGTTGGTTTCACATAGTTCTCTTGGTAGTTGGTGATATACACTGAAAAAAATTATTAACATGAAGTGATACATTACAAATGATTCTCGTTCACCTTATGACCATGTTTATACATAGCGACAATCACTAGTCAGACAAATGCAAAAGTATTTAACAACTCTTTGAGACAATATAGGAAACCTCACTCAGTAGGTGATAGTCACCATTGCTTGTCGGAATCACTTCCAATTATATGCCTAGAGGCCGTCTAAAAGGAAACAAAATAGCACACCAAGGCGGTATATATGCACAGTTTATCCAAGAGAATAGGAAATATCAGAAGGCTCTTCAATGTTTCCCGACAGATAATGTAGATCTGAGGCAAGGCTGCGACCGTGTTGTGTGTGCGTTGTGTACTAGGTGAGCAGGTAGAGTAGTGTGAGTGGAGTCGTCTGCAAAGTAGAGAAACAGGAACGAAATGTGACTTGACGACCCAGCAAGCACACACAATGCACTTACTTTCAATAAGAACTCTAACGAACAATAATCAGTAAGAACACAAGCCTCAGATTAATACAATCTGGGAGTCGAAACTAGTAGCCGATAGTTTAAACTGCTACAATGCACTTTACTTGATTCGGTTGGGCAGCGAGGTTGAATTACTGGTTCATATAAAAAACAGCGTAGCTCAAAGCCTACTACACAAACTTGTCAGTAACCTACATAGTTATCGAAAATATTAAATCCTACTAATCAATGCAACTCTAAAGAATTCCCGAACGGTTGGTTTCACATAGTTCTCTTGGTAGTTGGTGATATACACTGAAAAAAATTATTAACATGAAGTGATACATTACAAATGATT